CTGATCATTTCAATCTGATGTACCTGGAAAGGTAAAAGTAAAAATGTATGTTCATGATTACAACTTCCAATTTGCCTTACATGGACTATCAATGTATATAAGAGTCAGAGGCTCACCTTACCAAAAGCTAAAATAGACCTTAGAAAAAAGAGTTTGCTGCAGGTCTTTCTTTCATAGCAGTATCTCAGGTGCATGCATTAGGAGATCTTCTTTTTAGACCTTTTAGTTTTGAAAGGTTTGAACAAATCAAATCTTGTAAAAGGTTGTAAGAAAGAAGGGAAGAGGAAGAAAGGTTAATTTTAATATCAAAGAATATGATACTATAAAGATTTAGTTGAAAATAAAAAAAATAATAATAAAAAGTGTAAACGCGTTTTCTTTGAATTAGCAATAAAAATAAAAATTAAATAAAAAATAAATAAAATAATAACAAAATAAAGATGGATAATCAAAAATGACGAAGATCACGTGGGCGGACAGAGAAACGCAAAATCTCACGGACAATAAAATAAATAATAGATTCTTTACCACTATTTCTTTATAATTAGTCATTTTATTTTTATTATAATACTAAATTAATTTTATATTTTATATTATATTATATTTTTTGTATTATTAGGAAAAATTCTCAGTTGATTAAACTATCTTAAATTTATTTTTAAAAAAATTTTTGAACTATTTCATTTTGGTTTTATATTATGAAAATTTAATTTTATATAAAATTTATTTTATATAATTTTCACAATTGAATTTGATTTTATTCAAAAAATATTCTTTAATAAATATTATCATTACAATACAAAAAAATGAACTGAAATAGTAGTAGTAATCAGAATAAATATTATTATGTTTCTCATTTCTTTTTTTTTTTTTTTTTCAAATATTAAATTTTTAATAAAGTTAAAGTTATAAAAAAAAAAAAGAAATAGAATTAGTTTAACGATCGCTACTCATAAAAAGAAATTAAAGTATGGAATGCAAAAGGATTAGAAGAACACGTTAGTTTGTTTTTTTTTTTTTAAGAAAATATGTAAGAATAACGATACAAATCACATGACTTCACCGCATGGACGTTTTTCTGTAATCTTCAGGTCGGCATTACGGCATTTAAGAAATTTAACCATCTGAAAATTATTTTCTAAAATGGTATAAATTAAAATTATTCTGTCGAACGATTTAAATTAGTAATAAAAGAACTGCCATGAAGTAATTATAGTTTTAACCCAAGACGGACTAGCAAAATCGGATGTTTTTTGTTACATGAAAGGAAAAATAATAATTCAAAGTACAATAATAATTTGTAATTTGAGTAGCAGGTTTATTTTATTATTATTCATTCGTATCAATATGTGCGTGAAATCGTTAATCTTTAAAGGTGTTAATCGGGTTAATTGAGATAAAAGATAATAGCGTGAGAAAAATAATACGAGTGACAAAAAATCATACGTCTGGATTTGATTAGATCGTTAAATATCGTACGATAATGAAATTTTGTCCACTTGATTATAACTTTAATAAAGTTCAGAAGATTACCAAAAATGAGATTCGTACCTTTCTAAAGTACATCTATTTGGCTATGGAAACATACTGTATCATAGAATCAATCACTATAAGAAACAAAGGAGCTTATTGAAAGAAATTGACAAGAGTTTATGACGAAAAAGGGTTAATGTAAATAAAAGTTTTGAAACGATTTTATTGAAGAAAAAAAATTAAGGTTTATTGATGCAACAATCTTAAAAATTTGTTGTAACATAAATTTGACTGAAACCTTTTACTTCCGCTCCTTTCCATATTTTGCAGAAACTAAATAAAAACCGTTAATACCCTTTTTAATCAAACAAAAGTGGCATTCCGAATATACAAGGATTCAGGATTGAATAAAAACACGCGGAGCACGGAAATTGAAAGACAAATGACGTATATGGAAATTTTTTACCTTTTTAAGACGTAAATTTGGTTGTAAAAAAAAAAAGGTGATCCACTAGAATATAAAAAAAAAAATTTTTTTTTTGGTGACTGATTCAACGAAGAATAATAATAATAAAAAAAAATATATCGAGAATAATAGTTCTCCTTTTCCATTTTCTTCTTCGGTTTCAAAATTCTTTTTATTTACGGATAATATTTTTTTCAAAACAATGTTGTCATAATGAAAGGCCTTTGTTTTTAAAGAACCTTTCTTTTTCCATACAAAGAAAGTTCAACAAATAAATAAAAATATATAACCAAATTTTAAAATTTAAAGAAAAAACCGTCCAATCAAAGCGAGCATCATGTTTAATTAATTTCCTTTATAAAGATTAGCTCGAAAAAGAATTTTCTTTAAAGAAAAAAAGATAAAAACGTGAATGAAATATGATTGCACACTCACAACCTTGTATGGTAATTAATTATAAAAAAATTTTCTCGAAAATGCACAAAGTGCCAAACAATGACTTTCACATAATGTGAAAATTGGTTATGTAAGATATTGTTCCAATCTACCACAAAAAAAAAATACAAAAATTTTTTTTCAAAGGGGGATGTTTGATTCATTTTTTAATCCGTTTAGTCCAAACGAGAAAAACAAGAATATTTACAATGATTTCTTTTCCAATTTCATTGTGCCGGCTCAAACAATGGTCTTTATATGCTGCGCAGCACCGATTTTTCATCTGGTTGATCCAAACTTTATCGAGATATTACAATGAATTATTTTTTATATGCATCATTATGATTGTTATCATTATCATTACAATTATTCAAGAAAAAAATAATTTTATTTTCTATTAATTCCCGCCAATTGTGGCCCCTTCGCTAAAGGAAAAAAAAAAAATTTAATAATTATTGTTGATCGCACAACAATTACGGTCACCCATGCAAACGAAATGCTTCCCACTCATCAATTACGGCATCAATTTAAACTTATCAAATGGTTAAACATTATATCTTTCTTTTTCAGTAACCTCCTTGTAGAATCAATTCCGTTCACTGTAATGCAATGTCCCCAAACAAACAAAAAAAAACCTAAAATGAGAATCGGATATAAATTTGTACAATTTTTTTTTTTTTTATATACAAAAAAAAAGCACCATAATAAGAAAATAAAATTTTTTATATAAACGAGTAAATTCAAACGCCAAACAGGTTTTTTTCTTACCTTGAAAGTGATAAAGGCACCCCCTTATTCGTGTCATGTTTGTTCTCTAAGATTAGGCAATAGGTCAATTACTATACGATTTCTTTGATCAAAAATCGTATTAAGGCGTTTTCCCATTACCTGCATGAAATAAGGTAGATCATTTATATTTATTTAGAAGTAATTTTACATTTATGAAAGTTGACAATTTACTTGGATTTATTGTGTCATCGATACCTTTCCTCCGTTGATCTTTCCTTAAGGTACCATATTGTTATCATGACTCATGGGTTCTGTGATGATCAACTCGGATCTTGACCAAGTCAAGCTCATTGCATCATCGATTACATTCAAACGCATGTGGCTTAGAAATCTCTTTGAATAAAAAACCGAATTTGACCGGATTTATTCTCATTACCCTACCCGTTCTTCTTTCATGGTTACCGTGTTGGTCTCAAGTAAAAATTCGCCACATATCTTACGACAATGTCATACTCTAAATTTACATTCGCTCAATGTAACCGTAGTTGTCGATCATTCCATGTAAAGTGGTTTCACACACACCCAATTTCGTTAAGATTCGTAATAAAATTGATTGATGGTGTAAAATTAAGAAAAAAAAAAAAATTTTTTTTTTTTGGATTGATTGATCAAGTGTTTCGAGGTTTGTTTGATAATGATAGACTATACAAGGAAATAATCACGAAATCTTTATCGTGAGACATATGAACATTGGATGATGAATGAAATTAGCCGTACATGAACCAGTCTATCAGTTTCAAAACTTGGTGTCCTTCCTCGCTTTGACCATCCGAAACATTTCAATAATGAAATCACGAGAAAGTTACGCAATAGGGATTCCGGATACCAATTAAATGACTTCTAACCAAAAAGATGTAAAAACCTGTTTGATTTAATTTTATTTATATTTATGTTTGTACTGGGACAATTATTTAGTTTTGTCCAAATTTATTTTCGTTTTAAATTTGTGCAAGGGAAAATTGCTAAAAAAAAAAAAATTCGAAAAACAAAGGTTCGAGACGCGTGATTCATCCGCAAACAAGTGTTGGATCTTGAATTTTTGATTATTCAATCTTTTTATGATTTCCCAAAGTTAGATTTTGTTAACACATGATCCCAATGACAAAAACCTTTTCCGCTTTTTTTAATAAAAACATTTCTGTTTCAGTTTATTGCGCCAACGAAAAAACAAATGAACTTTTTAAGAAGTAAATGATTTGACTAGTAAAATAAACCGCAAGAAAATATCGGATTCATTAAAAAAAAATCTCTCTCTTTTTTTTTTATTAAGCCTTTATTTTTCGTTTAAATATCAGGCGAAGGGAAAGCAAATATAAAAAAAAAAGATAAAAAAAAAAGCTAGCTATTCTATGTACAATGAATATTCTTATTCTATAATTAAAAAGAACTTTTTTAAATAAAAAAAATATTCATTAAAAAATGTCTTTTTTTTTTGTATTTTACTTTGCTTTTGATAACCAAAATCACAAAAAAAAGCAAGTAAAAATAAATTGTTCTATTTTTTTTTTTTTTTCGTTTTATAAAATAAAAAAGCCAAGTTGAATTTATATATACAATTTTTTTTTTTTTTTTTCTCGAGAAAAACCCCACACTTCGCCAAGGTAATCAAAAATTATGGATAAATAAAAATTAAATTCCAACACCAAAGAAAGAGCAAAAAAAGAATTAAATGCAAAGTAAGAAAGAAAAAAAATTATTAAGCGTGCGTTGTTTTTTTTTTTGAATTTTTGTGGATGGAAATGATATATTAATAAAGATGATGGATGGATGAAAGATTTTTTTTTGTTCAATGTTGAATTATATAATTAAAGAAAATTGATTAAGAATTAAAATTTAATTATTGAACGTATACGGATTTTGACATCTTTCTATCTCGTACGTTACTCGCACTGGCACATGCTTTCGAAGAGGTGTGCTTGTAACGAGGCATTGGCCCGCGATGATAAAACAACATTGGTTGTGGTGCTGGTGGTGGTTGAACTTTAGCAAATTGAATTGATGGCGTCTTTGGTGTAACAAATTTAACGGTTGGTGATTTTTCAAACTTTGTATTTCCACCCGTAGGATATTGAAGAGAAACTGATGAAATCGATGAATTTGTGGTCGAAGCCAATGATGGATAAGCACTTAAACGATCTTGAAGTTTGCATTCTTCTGAACAGTAAATTGCACCCTAGAGAAACAAAAAATAAAGAAAAAAAATAATAATAATTTAGTAAACCGGGACGCTACGAAATTAAAAAAGATGTTCACTTTTTTTTTCTAATACTTACGGGAATATTGCAGTGAGAATCGCACATGATGCACCAATCGGTATCCATTTTTAAATAATAAGAAAATTATAGAGACGAGAAAGTTTTTGAGGAATTTTTTTTTTTTCTTCTTCGAAAAGAAACGTTAAAATTTTTTTCGTAATAAATAAACCAAAACTTCGAAATTTTTTTTTTTTAATAGAATATCGAAATTTTGTAAAGATTAGAGTTGAAGGGGCAACGGCATATTTATATTAATTTTTTGAAATAACGATTGTATATTATAATAAGGGTTAGTATTATCTACAATGAGAATATATATTACAATATTACAATAAAAAGTAAAAGTAAAAATGTTCAGAATTCCGACACCGAGTGTTGATCTTCAATACATGGTAACTGTAAAGGTATATCATTCACTATATCATTCATGCAGTGACACAATTTAATCAATTTAATTTATATAATATACCTATTAATCTAAAATTATATATTATATAAAATAAAATTTAATTGGACTCCTTCCGCAGTTCACAGAAAAACTTTAAAGATTACCAACCTTTTAATCAAACGAAACGATTGGCCGCAGATTAATTTTCACGACATCAAAAAAAAAAAAAATTTGCCGGCTGTCAGAACTTTCACTCATCCGTTGTAGGGCGCTCGGTTATGAAACTAAATTTGTTTAAAAATGGTATTTTTAGAATAAACTTTTTAAAGAAAAAGATTTGAATACAATGGTGTAATCATCACCTTTTATTTCATTATCATCTTCTTTCAGAAATAAAACTAAATAAATAAAATTGTTCTTTCCCAACATGATGATCGAGCGCCACTCATTACGAATGTTATTGGTATACATTGGCACATGCATATGGTTGATCATACGATATATGAAAGCTCTTTTCAAGTACGTAATTAAAAAAAAAAGTTTCCTTTTGTTTTTCGTTCTAATCAAAGAAAAAAAATATACGATGAAGGGTTGGAAGGAATAAATATTCCCATGTACATTGTACATTTTATTTTCTTTTTCCAATTTGGGTTTAATTAGATCAATAACGTTAGGTTTTTTTTATGTTATGAAACCCATATGGTAAAGAATAAACACCAATTAATTTTTGTGCTAAATGTCAAAATTTTATGTTAACATTGCATCTGGTAAATCTTGAATTTTTTGAACGACGATGAGGAAATGAGGGAAGCAAGGAAAGACCAATAATCTTTGTGTGAACTTTTTAATGCTGGAACTAGTAATGATTTATTCAATATATTAAATTGTTCCCGAAAATACAGCTCACTTTATCAATATAAATAATTACTGGAATCGAAATTCCCGATTATGAACAATCAGTATAAGTAAAATTTATTTGCATATAAAAAAAATCAAGTTTTTTTTTTTGTATCAAAGGGACAAAGGTATCATTAACCCCAACAAAAATTTACCTATATTTGTTATTATTGAAACTTATTATTATTACTCGGCAAGAGAACAAACTAGTTTTTTTTTTTTTTTTTCCCCTTTTTTCTTTTTCATCGAATAATAAATAATACATTCCCAAAGGGTAATAATAATATTTTTTTTTTTTAAAAAAAAAAAAAACCTCTCCTTTTTCAAATATTATTTTAACATTTTTTTTTGTGTCGCTCCATAAAAGTTTAATTTTCAATTGCATCGGATTTTTAATTTTATACTAATTCGTCTTATTACCAATGAAAGACATAAACTAGTTTAAAAAGGGAATTTTTAAAAGGAAACTCTTTTGGCAAAAAAAAATTTAGCCAATTGTGTTTCGGAGGAGGTTTTATATTTAAAAAATCCAAATAACGTAATGTAAAACTTTATTTGTTTATGGCGTAAATTTATTGGTTAATTATAATATTTTATCTGTTAAACAAATTAAAAACGATCGTCGATTTCGGCACAATGTGATTTATTGTGCCTACAAAAATAAAAATTAAAAAAAAAATTACTTGAATTATATCTATATTCTCGATTTGTGTTTAATTCGATAAAAATTTTCCACGTTCCGTAAATGATCGAATTATTTAAAATAAAATAAAAAAAATATATATTTATTTATTTATTGATAATCCACTTTAAAGGGAAAAAAGGTATTCGGATTCAAGATTATCTTGACACGTTCTTGATAGAGCCTCGCCAAATTCAAAAAGGGTGTGATCTTTGAATATTCACAATTAAAAACATTTCAATGGCTTTCCCTCTTGGGCACTTACAGCAAGTATGAATCGGGGTTTGAACTATCCCTTCTCATATGAAGTTCATATGACTACGATACTACGTCACAAACGTTTACTTGGCTACCAGTTTGTTTGTAGGATGGGTCGTTCAAGAATTAAAAGTCCGACTAAACAATTTCGAATAACCTTATTTACGATCGTTCTTTTGAATTTGATACTAATCTTAATAAAAACTTCTCCTAATGAATGTTCGATGATCAAATAATTTAAAATTCAAAATGGGATGTACTTTCCGGATGTTCTTTTTTCACGGGAATGAATGATCCAAACCCAAAAACCTTTCATTCGGTGGTACTTCAATCCCATACATGATAAATGGATTTGTACCGTATTTGGCAAATGATTTCAATCCCTAGCTCAATCCATTTGTAAAAAAAAGCTTATTGAGACTAATTCTAGTGAAAATCTTTTAACCCCCAAATTGTCTGTTTAAATAATACTTCATGTTCACAACTTATACAACCATTTTCCATTAACTCAACCTGCGTTCTTATGCGACTCACAAGATTCTATCTATCAATTCGTGTCACTATATTAACGAAATATTCAATACATTAGGAAGGTGAATGTTGATTATCGATGAATTTCTAATTTCCACTTTTGATGTTAAAATCGACGCGTTTTAAAAAATTTCCCGTTGGTTTATCAACTCTATTATTAGTTTAAAATGTGAAACACTTCATTGAAAATTTTTTAAAACGAAAAATAAAGAAGCATGTATTACCGGACGAATGTTAAGTTTCGACAACTTTTTAAGTTTTATACTTTTTTTTTTTTTAAAATTGAATATATTTTATAGTTTTTTG